TGCCCTTACCAGGAATCCAACCTTGATCTCCTTGTTCATAGGTTGGCGCTTGACCACTGAGCCACACCAGTTGGGCAAGATTGTCTTTTTTTCTTTTTTCTTTATTGTTTTCAAGTATTACATTATGTCTCCTTTTTCCCCCATTGACCTCTCCCCGGCTGTTCCCACCCCACAACACATGCCCTCAACCCCCGACTGTCTATGTCCATGGGTTAGAGATTATCTTTATTCAATAGTATTCCTTTGCTCCTTCATCAAAGCTCAGTTAACTATATTTGTGGGGATCCATTTCTGGGCTCTCCATTTAAAAATTATCTTTTTATTTATTTATTTATTTATTTATTTATATTTTTTTGCTAATATATTTTATTGATTTTTTACAGAGAGGAAGGGAGAGAGATAGACAGTTAGAAACATCGATGAGAGAGAAACATCGATCAGCTGCCTCCTGCACACCTCCTACTGGGGATGTGTCCGCAACCCAGGTACATGCCCTTGACCGGCGCCAGGGCTGGGCTCTCCATTTTGTTCCATTGACCTATTTGTCTGTTCCTTCACCAATACAATACTGTTTTGAATACTGAAGCTTTATAGTAAGTGTTGAAGTACACTGGGGTCAGTCTTCCAACTTTGTTTTTCTCCTTCAATATTGTGTTGGCTACTCTGCATCTTGCCTATCCATATACACTTTAGAATAAGTTTGCCAATGTCCATAAAATAATTTGCTGGAATTTTTAATTAGAATTGCATTGAATCTATAGATAAAGTAGGGAAAAACTGACATCATGACAATATTAAGTCTTACTATCCACAAATATGAAATATCACTTGATTTATTTAGTTCTTGATTTTGTTCATCAGAATTTTATAATTTTTCTCATATAGATCTGTATATAGTTTGTTAGTGTTATACCTAAGTATTTCATTTTTGAGGAGGATGCTAATGTCAATAGTATTATGCTTTAAATTTCAAGTTCTACTTGTTCATTGTTGGTATGTGAGAAATCAATTGACTTTTATATATTAATCTTGTAACCTGAAACCTTGCTATAATCATTTAAGAGGTCCATGAGGGTCTTTTTGTTTGTTGTTGTTCATAAGGGTATTTTTTTTGTGTGTGTGTGTTAATTCTTTCAAGTTTTCTATGTGGACTATCATGTCATTTGCAACAAAGTCTGAGGAAAAAGAGGCTAGAATGGTACCAAAGGGCCAGCTCCTGGTGGGGACAGAAGGACCTGGATCCCAGGAGCCACTGCCTCAGGAGGCTGGTAGTGTACCCCCTGACGATGAAACCTCCAGTGAACTGAACCTGTAGCAACTCATGGAAGATGTTGAGGGAAGAGTTGGAACAGAAGATGAAGCCACAGCATAGAGATGACCAGAGTTCAACATGGCTTCTTTGAGGAGTCCTTTTGTGCTCTTTTGCTCTCTTACTCTCTTCCTCCGGAACAGGAGGAGAGCCTCTCAGAAGGTACATAGAGCTGGTACGTGTTGGGGTTAGTCACTGGCTACAAGGTGAATTGACTAAATTAAACCAGTTTATACGTTAACTAAACCGGTTACTGGTTTACTTGGTTTGGTCATCCCTAAGTAGATGCTTCCTTTTGGCTTTCCTCCCTCCTCCTCCATGTCAATAACATCATTGTTTCTGTGGGAGGCCTGTATAGTATAGGAATCTGGGAAGGCAATGACATCTTAGTCCTGGGTGAAGGACATCGAGAAGAGAAGGAGTAAGTTCAAATCCTGGCTCGCCATTTGCTTGCTGTGTGGCCTTGGGAAAAGCACTGAAACCATTCTGGTTCTTCATTTATGTCTCAAATGAGTACATCCTATGCCATATAGGGTTGCTTATGTTAAGTGAGGTGATGCATGTAAAGGCTTAAATTGTAAGGGAAGTAGAGTGGTTAGGCTGGAGTTACAGACTGGGTTACAGGCTGCCTAACAGTGTTCAGAGACTTGCAGTCATTGAGCAGAAGCACTAGAGGAGGGGTCTTGGGCATGAGCTAAGTATTGTAGTTTATTTTTGGCAAGAAGGACAGAAGTTGAAGGTGACATCAATTTTTTTCTTAGATGCATGCAGGCAAATCCTACAGGTACTTTTATTTTTGTGGGCAAGGGAACGAGGTGAAGAGGGAACTGGAGCAGATGGCTATTTTTCTTAGGTCCTTGGTGGCCTTTGACCCCTGTGGCTTCTGAGTGATCTGTGTCTGGCTGAGATTATTATGGGAAGTGGTGATCCTTCTGTGCAGCTTACTGTAAGGAGGTCATCATTCAGTCACACTCCTTAGGTCTTTAACATAGAGTATAGGGTCTCTTCCTGGGGGCTCTCATAGAGAAGGTGGCTAGGAGGTGCTGTCGGTGAGGGTGAGGTTGAGTTGGAGAGGGTAAGGGAGGCATAGAGGATGCTGTCAACCTGTGTGAGAACAGAGAGAAGGGGGTTAGAAGTGGAGGGGGAGCTGACCTCATCTTACATCAGCGATCTCATACCTGAGTGCCCTGCTGATACCACAGTCCCTCTATTCTTTCCACCCCTACTTCCCCCAGCTTCTCTCTAATTCTTTCAGGCTCTAGTCTGAGCTACTTACTTTTGGGTCCGGCTTGGCGTCTCTG